AGCCAACAATTCAGCTTCTGTGCTGAACAGAAAAAGTTCTTGATGGTATAAGTCTAAGTCACACTAGAACAGCACAGAAGTAGAGATTATTTTTGAAAGAATGAAGGCGAGGGAGGGGGAAGAGACACCCAGCCGAGCACTCTAAACCGCCTTGTGAAGATGATGATTTGGGCAGGGACTGAAAGACGGAAGCTCTTAGCACTGGCCTCAGCAAGGGACATCAGCAATAAAGCCTGTCTGAGGCGGTGACACAAGATCCCAGGGTGAAGAGTCATTAGCGTTCTTGGAACCTGAAGGGCTCATCACCAGCGACGCAGCTGTTTGAGTAACTGCTGGGTAGTGGCTTAGTGCAGCGGGCTCTCAGTGAGAAGAAACTCACTCTGTTGATTGGGAGTAAAACCTGTGATTGGATGGAAATGGGCAGAGAGGGTCTGGAAGATGGAGAAGGTACCCACAGAGCTATCAAAACACTGAGTCTCTTCCAAGTGAAATTGGATTTCCTCTGCTTCTCAAAAGTTCTAAGTGTAGCTAAGTACATTACACTGTGTACCCTACTGCCTGAGACCAGGAAGAATGTGCTTGACAAAACTGCCCAAAGTACCCACTGAGTTAGTATGCCAGGTAATCCTGATATTCTACCCGGGATGATAGGATGTTGGCTAACGATCACAGAATCTTCAGGCTGCAAAGCTCTCCAGAAATCCTCCGGTGTAAACCCCTTTCTCTAAATATTGTGGCGCCAGCATTCTTTGCCTATCCAGTTGCATTTGCTTATTGAGTGACCATTGATGTTCCGTTGTTTCAGTGTTGTCCAGCTCTTTGTGACCCCATTTGGGATTTTCTTGGCAAAGACGCTGGAGTGGTTTCTTTGCCATTTCTAACTCCAGCTCCTTTTACATGTGAGGCAAACAGGGTTAAGGGACTTGCCCAAGGTTACACAGCTAGGAAGTATCTGAGGCCATATTTGAACTCATGAAGATGAGTCTGCTTGATTCGAAGCCCAGTGCTCTATCCACTGTGCCACCTAGCTACTGAGATTGATCATTAGGTTCTTTAATATTTGACAACTTTGATTCTCCTCAAACTACAATGGAGAAAAAGGCACTTCATATAATCACCGATGGAATTGCCTGTGAAACTGGATTCTCCCAGGTAATAGAGCATATCATGCATTAGCAGTGGTCTAGAATGGCTTTGGGGACAGGATCAGAAGACCTGGGTTTGAACCTGAGCCTTGCCACTTCCCAGCTGTTACCTTGGGCAAAACTATTCCCCTTCTCTGCACCTAAATATTTTCCTATTTAAAAAAAAAAGAAGGGGGATAGAACTAGATGATCTCTAAGACCCCTCCTGCACTCTGCACTAATATTCTGATCACTCATATTTTCAACCTTGGAGTCATCCCAAATATTCCTTTTCCCTCACTCCACATATCCGCGCAGTTGCCAAGTCCTGCCACTTGTTTCCAGAAATTCTCTTGTATTAATCCATTCCCTTCTTTCCACTCACCGAGCTACCACTCTGGTTCAGGGCTGCAGCACTTATCACCTAGACTGCTGTAATTGCCTCCTGATTTGTCTCCCTGGCTCAAGTCTCTGCCCCTTCTAGCCTAACTTTCACGCAAAGTTTCTCATTAATTTCCCATTGCCTCAGCGGTCAAATACAAACTCCCCTGTCATTTAAAGCCCTACACAACCTGGTTCCAGCCTACCTTTTCAGGTCTTTATACATTTACTCCCTTTCATGTACTCTCAAGGCTTGCCAAACTGGCTTTCTTGCAGGTTCTCTTCTTACCCTACATTACCTCTCTAGTTGCCAGACTTATGCATGCCTACAAGGCACTCCCTCCTCATCTTTGCATCTTCCTCTTAAAGTTCAACTCAATACAAATCTTACTCAGCCCATGACTCTGGGGACTGCTTCTCAACATCCACCCTCATTGCCTACCACTTCCTCCTCAGAAATAAATAAATGGATAGATAGAAGTCTCTAAATTGGGGTTTTACCCTCTCTCTAGACCTCTAGATCAAAAAAGGGCCAGTGGGAGTCAATTAGAACCTTTAAAGAATATACCTTACCCTTTGACCTAGCAATAGCACTTCTAGGGCTGTATCCCAAAGAGATCATACAAATGGGAAAAGGACCCACATGTACAAAAATATTTATAGCAGCTCTTTTTGTGGTGGCAAAGAATTGGAAATTGAGAGGATGCCCATCAATTGGGGAACAGCTGAACAAGCTGTGAATGGAATGGAATACTGTTGTGCTATAAGAAACGATGAACAGTCTGACTGCAGAAAAACCTGGAAAGACTTGTATGATCTGAGGCTGAGTGAAGTGAGCAGAACCAGGAGAATGTTGTACACAGTAACAGCCACATTGTGCAATGACTAATACTGATAAACTTAACCCTTCCCAGCAATAGAAGGACCTAAGACATCTCCAAAGGCCTCATGATGGAAAATGCTATCCACATCCAAAGAAAGGACTATGGAGTTTGAATGAAGATCAAAGCATACTATTTGCTATTCTTTTTCTTCTGTTGTGTTTTGTTTCCTCTTCCTAGTGGTTCCTCCTATTGGTTCTAATTCTTACTTACAACATCACTAATGTGAAAATATGTTTAATAGGAATGTATATGTATAGCTATACCAGCTTGGGTGCCGTCTTGGGAAGGGAGGTGGGGAGGAAGGGAGAGAAAAATTTAAAACTCAAAAGCTTACGGAAGTGATTGTTGATAATTTAAAATTGATTAATTTTAAAAATTAATTAATTAATTAAAAATTAAAGTTCCAAAAAGATTTAAGGATAATGAATAAAATAAACATTTATCTGAATAAATTTTTTAAAAAAGAAAGAAGTCTCTAAAAAAAACCACAAATACATTTCCCTGCTTTTCAACAAAGGCCGTACCACTCCTTTATCATTTATCCAACCTATAGAAAGTTTGGAAAATGTTATTAAGGAAAGGACTGCCCACCTGTCTTTGTATTTCTCTCACCCATCACTGGTTTCCTACTGCTTTGGAAGCAAGATTTCTCTAACTTCTGGTGCCTAGAGATCACTTCTCTATAACCCAACCATGTAATTAAAAAGTGGAAAAAAGAAGAAAGGGGTTGTTAGAAGAGGAGAAGCTGCCAAGAAAAACCCATTTCTCAGAGACTGCAGACTTCAACCTAATCTTTTAATGAAGAGTTAAAGGCCAGTCCTGCCGTCCTGCCAACCTCCCTCTGCTACCTCACAACAAGGACCTGGTGAAGCTGTTAATCAGTCTAAGTGCGTACAAAATAAAACGTGGCAGCACCGGCTTGTTCTAATCTCAAGCCCTCTTTGTATCTCTGGGAAGACACAGAGGAAAAGAGCACAGGACAAGAATTAGGAGACATGGTTCATTCCCAACCATGCCACTGCTTATATGACTAACCTATATGTGACTACTCATATGAAGTCATTTCACCCCACTAGCCCTCAGTTTCCTCCTCTGTAAAGTAGGAATAAGATTTGCTCAGCTTACCTCACAGGTTTGTTGGAAATATCAAACCAGATAATGAGTGGAAAGCACTTTGTATTCATAAATTGCTATATAAACATGAGTTATCTTTATACACAATTAGGAGGAAAGACAAACAGAATGAAAGCCAGGGCAATATGTGTATGCCAAACTTTGCATGCAGTGACCAACAGAATTTCACAAAGGCATTAGGATTCACAAACATTGGTGCTTTAAATGATTCACTGATTTGATCAGTGTGAGTATACCCTTCACCAATTCAATTGAACAAACTTTTATTAAGGAAGTACTATGTGCAGGGCACTGTGCTAGGCACTGAGCTAGGCACTTGTGATTCAAAGACAAAAATATAACAGTCGCTACCCTCAAGGAGTTTTCATTCTCCTAGAGGGGTACTGCAATGTATGTCATTGTTGTTCAGTCACGTCGGACTCTTCATGACCCCATTTGAGTTTTTCTTGGTAAAGATGCTAGAGTGGTTTGCCATTTCCTTCTCCTGCTCATTTTACAGATAAGGAAACTGAGACAGACAGGGTTTGCCCAGGGTCACACAGCTAGTAAGTGTCTGAGGCAAGATTTGAACTCAGGAAGATGAGTCTTCCTGACTCCAGGCCCAGCACGCCAGCCACCGTGCCACCTCACTGCCCCTACTGCATGTATACAAGTAAATACACAATAATTTCAAGAGCAAAAATTAATAACTTCAAGGAAATCAGGAAAGGTCTCATGTTGGAGATGGCACACGATCTATCCTCTGAAGAAAGCTAAGGTTTCTCTCAGGTACAGATGAGGAGGAAATGAATTCTTATGCAAACACAAAAAAGTAAGAGATGGAATGTTGCAGGGGAAGGGGGAGAGTACAACTAGTAGGTCAGTTTAACTGGAATAGGAAGTATGTGAAGGGAATATGAAATACGACTGGAAAAGTAGGAGCCAGAATATGAAGTGCTATAAATATTAGGCCAAGGACTTTAGATTGTATTCTAGAAGGAAAGGAGAACCACTGAAGATAGATGCATCAGGGTGTGACATGGTGAAATCTGTATTTTAGGACTATCAAGTAGGCCACTATTTCGAGGTTTAGTTGGAGAATAAGATTACAACCTCTCCTTACCTTCTAGTCCTGTGCAGTTCTTACCATAGATCTTCCATAGCTGATCTAAGTCAATGTGTTAGTGGCTTTTCTTTGGTGTTCTAGTATCTTGGAGGCACCAAGATAACTCTTGGCTCTTTGCCTGTGGTCTTTCATTTCACAATATGATCTGTCCACCACCTTTTCCAATCATATATGTTCTCAACAAGTCTTTTTTTTACTTTGATTCTAATGTCCAAGCAAGCATCAGTAACATGCTGAAATCTTCATTTACTTTAATTCCTCCCCAGTCAGGTTGTGATTTGTGCATGTGTGTATAAACATAGACATAGATATATACAAAAAATATACATCATATATTATACATTTATTACATGTTTAGAACAGATAGGGTGGTACATTATAAGAGCTGCTCACATTCAATACTCCAAAGATAAAGCCAGAACACAGAATAAAAATCCTGGCTCCACCATTTATTTACTACTGGTACATCTTTGGGCAAGCCCCTTCATTTTCTCTGACCCTCAGTTTCCATTTTGGTAAATTAAACTGGATGACCTCCCAGGTCCATTCTAACACGTTCAAAATGAATACATGACCTAAATATAAAAAGAGAGATTACAAGAAAATTAGAACATGCAACATATGTGGAAAGAAGAACAATTTATGAATAAAGAGAGCAAAGTTAGATGTAAAATGGATAATTTTGATTACATTAAATTAAAAAGGTTTTGTGCTATAAAACAAATATAGTAAAGACCAGTGCTAAATTCAATGATAAAGGATGAGATTTCAAAGTTTTGTAACATTCCTCAGAAAACCAATGTCTCTATTCCCTCCTCAGCTCCAAACCTAAAGTCTTGTACTTTCTCCTTTATTTTATGAGAGACAACATCAAAACTCAAAGTGGTGTCAGAGCTGGAAACTTAAAGATAACCAAGTCTAACCCTGTCATTTTAAAGAGGAAACTGAGGCTAAGAAGTGAAATGACTGTACCCTACCTAGCAGATAATCACCTCCTTCCCTTCCTCCAACTGTCAGAAACATATTTCTCAAGGAGCTCAGGTTCATGCTAGGTCATCCTGGCCTATTGAGGTTGCCACGGTTACCACAGGACTGTGCTACCTTTTTAACTTCTAATGTACAAGACTCAATAAATACAGGCTTCTTCATCTAGTTTGCAATTAGCCAGCAAAACAGGAAGGAGGCTCCAAAGGTCAGTGCACCATGCCATCGGCACAAACTAAGAAAATTCTGGGGATGGTCAGGAAAGGCCCGTGGGGAAGCTTACTATCACCAAAAAGGGCAGTTTCACTATTAAATAAGGAGAGGCCATGGCCCTCTAAAGTCATGGGAAACAAACATTTGTGCAAGGTGGTAGAAACAGGCCTCTTAAGGCACCTTCTCTATGCCACATTAACCTGAGGCCTTGCTCATCCATGGCTCCTGCTAATGAGTGACAGATGAGGCATTGTGTCAAGACAGCCAGGCTCTCCTCCCAGGCAAAACTAAGCATGGCAAATTTATTTTGTGCTTATTATACACACACTGCAGGATATAAAAGAAAGAGAAGATGCAATCGCTGCACAGCTTACAATCTTGCTGGGCAAACAGTTCACACACAGGAAACTATACACATAGAAGACAGTAGAAAATGAAGTGTGGAACTGCGGGATACAGATTAAGTATTAAGAGTTCAGAAAAGGCAGAGACAGATCAGTGAGGTCAGGCTTTGCGGAGGGTGTGGGGCTTCAGTTAGGTCTTGTGGGGTTTCTAACTTAATAGCTTAACATTTATACGGTACCTACTGTGTGCCAGCACTGTGCTAAGCACTGTTACCGAAAGAATAAAGAGGGCAGAACAGTATGAGCAAAGGTCCTGAGGTAGGAATGAACATAACATGGCATTTTTAGGAAACAGAGGGGAGACCAGACTGACTAGAGAAGAAGTGTGTGACGGGGAATGTTTGGCGATAAGGCTGTAGGTAGAAATAGGGGCAGTTAGTAGAGGTCATTCTAGACAGAGGAAAGAGCACAAGCAAAGGTAATAAAATGGAAGAGTCCAAGAAATGTTGGTAGGACAGTGAGATCAATTCATTTATAATGAAAGGCTCATGTGATGAAGTATAGAAGCATAGAATTAGGGTTGGAAGGAAACTCAGCAGTTATATATTCCAATCCTTCCTGGAATAAGAATTCTCTCTACCTTATGCCCAAGAAGAAGTCGTCTAGCTTATGCTTGAATGACCTTTAAGAATGAGAAACTCACCATCTCCAAGAAACTCACTTCTGAACAGCTCTAATTGTTAAATGTTTCCTTTTCTTGAGCCAAAATCTCCCTTTCTGCAAATTCCACCTAATTGGTCACAATTCTAACCTCTGGGATCACGCTACAGAATGCTAAGGCCTTTTACATATAACTCTTCATACACCTGAAGAAAGCTAGTATGTCCCTCACAAGCCTTCCCTTCTAGTGGCTAAACGTTCCCACTTCCTTCAACCGATCCCTATCTAACAAAAAGTTTTGAGTTCCCCCATTATCTTTGACACTTTCCCCAGAACACTCTCCAACTATTTTGTCAACGTCCTTCATAAAGCGCAGCAACTAGAAATGAATGCCATACCATAGTTTTGTCCTGACCAAAGAGAGCCTAGTGGAACTATCAACTCCCTTACTCTGAGAAAGGCTGCCCTTAATGAAGCCTGAGCACACATGAGCTCTTGGGGCTGCCCTTGTGTCCCCACTGACTCTTACTACGAGCCTTCAGTCTGCTCCAACCCCAAGTGCTTTGGTTGTTGTTATTTTGTGGTTTTTGTTGTTGTTCCTGTTCTGTCATCTCCATCCCATTTCATACTTGAGCTATTGGTATTTTGAAGCCAAGTATCGTTCGAGATGTCCACCATTTGTAATGTCATCACTGTGGGTATGCCATAAGCTGATGCATCTCCTAACTTCTCTATAATTGAGGAAGTAGTTTTCAAGTGTTTCTGCCCCAAAACCACATTACCCTCCAGCCAACCTAATAAGGAATCTCTCCAAACTTAGTTAGGCTTGTTCTTAGTCAATAGCCATCACGTAGTCCTAGCCCAAACGCTAAGCTTTTCCAGCTTGGTAAGACCTGCCAAAGCTATTCTATACTAGTAGGCATCACTATGACGGCACAATGAGACATTAGGGGAGGACTTTAATGGAAGACTTTATATTCATTGCTATTAAGTTTCATCTCATTAGATTTGGCTCATCATTCCAACCTGTCAAAACCTTTTTTGTATGCTTTTCTGTCATATGATATATTAATTCTCCATTCCAGCATTACTTCATCGGCAAATTTGACAAGCACGCCATCTATATCTTCAAAGCCAGTGATTGATAAGAAATGTTTTACAGAACAAGGTCAAGGACAGAGCTTTATAATACTATAATAGAGACACTGATCAATCAATCAATAAACATTTATTAAGAATTTACTAATACTAGCTGTGTGACCCTGGCAAGTCACTTAACCCCATTGCCTAGCCAAAAAAAAAAAAGAATTTACTAAGAACCAGGCACTGGACAGGTACTGAAGATTAAAAAAAAAGAGCCAAAACAACTCCTGGAACTAATATTCTTGTGGGGGATACTACATAGACACAAATTTAGTGCATAAAGATAAATAAGACTGAAAGTAGTCTTAGAGGGGAAAAACTAGCAGATGGAGTGATCAAGAAAGGCCTCCTGCAGGCAGAGGCATCTGAGCTTAAAGAAATCTTAAAAGAAATCAGAGATTCAACAAGATAAAGGATTCAACAAGATGCCAGGCATGAGGGACAACCAATGCAAAAGCATAGAGACAGAGGGTAGAGTGTCCTTTATGAAGAACAGCAAGTAACTCAATAAGACTGGATTGTAGAAGAGTGTAATATGTAAAAATAATGGAAAGGTAGGAAGGGGCCAAGCTGTGAAGGGCTTTAAATGCCAATCAGAGCAGTTGAGGTGACAAGCCATTAGAGTTTATTAGGGGAGAAGGAGTGAAAATCGCCTTGGCAGCTGTGTGGAAGGTAGACTGGAGTGGGAAGGTGCTAGATACAGGGAGTCAAACTAGAATGCTATTGCAATAGTCCAGGCAAGAGGGGGTAACTTCAAGGTGATATCAGTGCATTGATCAACATTCTTTAGGTCTAGATGTTCAGATAGCTCTGAATCTACTACACTGTCTTTGGCTATATCATTTTTTTTTCAGGAATGTCGTGAGAGGCTTTGCCACATGCCTTGGTGAAATTCAGTTATATTATATCTATCTATGGCATTCTTAGCATCTACCTCTCTTCTATACCTGTTTTTTAAGTACTCTTCTGGCATGACTTTTCCTTGTTAAATCAATGCTGACTTTTAATGGAAGACCCCGAGCAACCCATGCTAAAGAATCTGGATTTGATAATAATAAAGAAAATGAATCCTAATCAGAATGATACCTGGATTCCTTTCCTTTCTCATAATTGATAATTCAAAGAACCCAGTAAAATGTGAGCTTCTTAAGAATAAGGGCTTCTTTCTGGCATGTAGTAGGTGCCAAATAAATTCTTGTTAACTTCAACTGAAATCAAAATCTGAAAAATATGACTTAGATTCTCCTACACACATATCCCCTTACTTCACATATGTCCAGGTTACAGTTCATCAATCACTTTTCTTCCTGCTCTCAATATCTCATGGGAACTTCCCATGGTTTATCAACCAATCAATAAATATTTACTTAGTGTCTATTACGTGTTCAACCTCATGCTAGGTGCTTTGAGAGATACATAGATATTAAAGAGACAGTTGCTGCTATTAAGAAACTCTGGCTTTAGTTAGGGAGAGGAGCCAGACCCACATGAAACAATTTAATAATACCAGATACTATACAATTAATTGTTAAATTTTGTGGTACAGACCATAAAAGCTATAATTTATCCCTACCAGCTTGGCATATTACTCTCCAGAGGAACTATCCGTAATCTGAAAAAAAACAAATATTTTACTCTGTGCAAAAAAGAGGGTTGAAATCAAATCCTTCTCTGTTGCTTCAGTAGAAAGGACTTGAAGTTAGGATGGCATTTAGCTTTGTGACCATATACAAGTCACTTAACTCTTTGAGCCTTAGTATCCTCATCTGTAAGATGGAGATCATGCATGCATTCCCTAAGTCAGAGGATTGACAGAAGAAAAGCATTCTGTCAATTCATATTATGAGCTTACAGCTCTCTAGAGCCTAAATGCCTACATTTACAGCAGGGTTGAATGACATGGGTATACAAACCTGATGTCCTTTACATCCAGAATTTACTCTGTACTTAAAATTGTTCTCCCAGCTTTAACCACTGCTTCCAAATTCCCTGATAAGAGTTATAGTGTGAGAATCACAGGGTAATTACCCTGGTATACAATTGTACAATTTGCGACTAATGGAAAAGAGATTTACTGGCTACACTTGGACTGTCAGCATGTCAGTCTACAGAATGTCAGGGTAGATGTTGATTTACAGAGACTGCTCAGCCTGGCCAGACATCGAAAATCTGATCGGCATTCCACGTTTGCAATGAAGCACAGCTCACTGCGCAGAAAATTAATTAAGGTC